GTGTGTGTGTGTGTGTGTGTGTGTGCACTCCAGAGGGACAGATGGACAGATATCTCACATCCGTACCGGGGCAAGAAACTCAAGCAGGCCCTGGGGAGAGGCTGTCCTTTTCATTAGAGGGTGAGAGAACAAGCTGAGCCTGCAGGCTCTGTTTCACCTGCCTCTCTTTCTCTCCCCCTGCCCCCCCCTCGAGCAGCATGTGCCACTTTACTCCAGCACCACACTGTGGTTTGTAACAGTTTAAACTGTCACTACCCATCATCGCCCACCTCGGCCTGAATTAGCTGGTTCTAAAGGCCACTGGGCGCAGGATTTCATCGTGTGAACAAACACGTGTGTCAGTGTTGTGTCTCACCTGACGTCATGAGCGGAGGAGGAATAGTAGGATGCAAATCTCGGTTGCAGTAGTCCTGATCTGTGCAACACTCGAGAGCTCTCCTGGAACGTGCATTCCCCGTGTCCTGAAACACACACAAGTGTAAACCTCAGGCTTTTCCACACACTAATGAAGACACAAGCGTAACAAATATTTACAGCTACACTCATGAGAGTGTTTAACGATGGACCAGAGGTTTCTCCACTGTGTGTTAAGATGGCGAGTTTGAAAAGTATGCTTTAAACAGATCTCATAAATAGTTGCAGTCGTTCAAGGAAAACTCATAAAGACGTTTCAGAAAGAAACACACCCACAGTAAGAAATACACACAGAGCTGACTTACTCGACACTGGAACTCAGAACCAGCGAGTCCTAAACAACCTGAGGTGAGCACAGCCACTCCGCCCTCCTCCTCCTCAACCATGGTGAAGCAGAATCCGTCAGTGCTGAGAAAACACACACATTGTATCCGTCACTATGGTTGTTGGGGTTTGGGCTGAAAAGCATTTTATTGAATCTGATTCCAGAATAAAGTCTATTGAGTCTAAATCCTTTGAAAATCTCAATCTAACTGTAAATAGTCAAGAACTGAAACTGATGCATTTTAACCCAATATACATTATTACTGAGTATATATATTACTGAATGGATCATTTTTTTTATTAATCATTTCAGTCATTTATAACAAAACATCATCATTCAGTGATACCTGATTCCAGATAGTTTTTTATCAATATCATTGAACATTGGAGAGTTTGGGAGAAAACTATTTGAACCTTTTACCTTATATATGCAATTTAAAATAAAAGACATTAATGGTAATGTCGTAATATAATATTTAAATATTTATCATATGCACCTACATTCCTGTATCATAGAATAAATACTTGTACTCTATACACTTTGAACATGAAACTCTCCAGTGTAAGCGTCTAATGCAGGTTCCTGACTGAGGGCTTTCAGAGACGAAGCTCTTCCGATCAGGTAATTAGAGGTTGTGTTGTCTTTTAACAGCCTCGATGCACACAGTTATTTTTACGGTGCTATTTTTATATACTTCATCGTACATGCAGGTGTTGTTGACAGAGTTTTCCGGGCAGTGGTGATTGCAGTAGCACCAGAGCAGTTTCTGAGATGAAACAGTGGCCGTGCTGCTGCTATCCTCCGCCTTTCGCTGCAATCCCCCCTTCCATCCGTTCTTCAGAAGCATGGCGTCCAACATGTTGGCTGTGCAGAGAGAGAGCGAGAGCGGGTTTAGATCAAGGTCAGAACCCAAACATCTGGACACTCCACTGGGTCAAGCGAGGGCGAGCAGTAAAACATAAGTACACATACCTCAGAGAAATTAAAGATTAAATAAATCAAAAGATCCAAACAACATTTCAGCTCATTCTGAATGGGTGTTTTGAATTATATATATATATATTTATATATATATTTATATGGATATAAATGAATCAGTTCAGCCTGCCTTGGCACTGTTACCATGGCAATGCAATCCTCTGAAAGTGTGAAAATGTGGTGCTGAAAGCAACCCTGCTGTCCTGGACCGGAATCAATGTACCAGTCTGGAACCAGAAAAACACAGAGAGAACTCTTGTGTGTGCATGTGTCTATAAGTGCTACTGTATTTACACTGTGCAGTAACCTAAAGCACATGCTGCAATATTCAAAATAAGCTATTCGTCACATTTTGTACAGATATAAAAATTCAAAAATCCACCTCAAATATTAAAATGTTCATAAACATGGTTTAGTCTATAATTACATTATTGAATGTGTAAAATGCTTCACACACTAAATTGCTTAAAAAGAGTTTTAGAAGCTCTTCTTCTCTCAATCTGCACAACAGTGATGATTCTGTTGACAGACATCACTTATTTGGTTTCCAGCCTTCCAGAGAGCTCATTATGAGTATATAAGTTACTGCCAACTGGAAATAGGTGAGTCTTCAGTACTGCATGCATCTTGTCAGAGGAGGATGATTTTTCCATCGGAGTCGAGCCAAGCGAAGTGATATGATACAGATGTATTCACATAAACTAAGAGAAGAATAAATATTATTGCTCTGGACTTGCTCGTCTTTAAAAGTGTTAACTTCAGCAGCTGTCAAAACTCCAAGATTAAGATTTAAACAAAAAGAGGGATTCTGTTATGAGATAGTTTTGTAGTTATTTTTGTAGTTTTGTAGTAAATGTGACTCAACTGAATGTTGATTATGAGGGAAAACAAGGCAGAGAACAGTTTATTTTATTACAGTCTAATACACAAACAGGGAAATTAATCAACAAACTAGTCATGGAGACAAATATGCAACTTTATAAATAAAATAATATATAAAATAATTTCTGACAGCAGCTCGTCCCTGAAGGCCTCTGTGGTCAGATATAGTTGAACAGTGTTGTGCCACATGAGATGGACGTCTTCCTCTCCTCGTCTGTCTGATTCTCATTCTTTCTTCCTCTGCTTCTTATGTTACAATAACAAGTTGACAACTGGCCAATCCATTTTCTTTTGTTTGCATGACTGTGACAATTCCACGCAACTTTAAACAAGACTTTAAAGTCCACCTCCAGCAGCTTTTACACCACACTAGTGGTAAATGGTCCATATTAATTTAGCACTTCTCTAGCCTTAATAAGCACTCAAAGTGCTTTACAATGCAGTTTTGCCACACTTTCATAAAGTCCACCTATATGTGCAACACTTTCCAGACTAGGATCTTCTGTTTAAGTGAACAATCCGTTCTACCTCCTAAGCCACAGCCATCATTCTGTTTGTAGCTCAAAATAACATATTCAAAAGGTTTATCATGAAAATATCCTTAAAATGGCTAAAATGTCACTCTCACTGCTCCACCTGCAGGGGGCCCCACCCACAAACTGACAGGATTGGTTTCTTAGGTTTGTGACATCACAACAAATTCTCTTTTTTTCAGGCTGGCATTTGTTTACCGCAGGGTTGAGGTGGAAATACTCCGCCATTAGCATTGACGACTCAATTCACTCTAAATGTTAACTTATCATATAAAAAGGCACAAGGGGGACATGTTTGAGATCTTTTAACTTTTTTACACATGAGGTTCATCCATCAATCAAATCCAAGAAAAGCTCTAATCCACCCTAAAAAGGTTTGGGCTTTCTAATAGCATTTAGACGTTGACCTAAGCTGTAGATGCAAGTAGCCATTGGGAAAAGGCGCACAACTAAATCTGCAGCTGTGATAAAAGGTTGAATCAAAGGCGTTGAACACAGACTGGCTATTCTTTAAGTGGTACTCCGTGTCCTTCCAACCTAATCTATGACTGTCTACGTCAGAGGGGAAGTTTGTGGAGGTGCTCTGATCCTCCCTCACAGCGGCCTTGGTTTGTCTATCACATCTGCTCTGCAAGTGTGCCTAAAAAAACACAAGGCAGGAATGTTACATGAACTCGTCAGTCTCTCAGATACACTCCGTCCGAATCAGCTCGGCTTTATTTGATTTTCTTTTTCAAAAGCAGCGAGTGAGCAAGGAAGACAGATGCAGGTCGGCTCAGAGAGAAGAGAGAAGTGTAACAGAAAAATCTGATGTGAAGAGACAGAGGATCCAGCTTTGGGGAATACAGCCGGAGAAGACTGTGTATGAGCTGCCGTCTTGTAGAGACGTCACACTGAAAACTAAAATCTGTCAGAAGTTCTGCCTTGTAAGTGACAACTCTCCAGATTATCATCGTCCTCCGATGAACACATTTTATTGGCAGCTGTATTAAAAATCAAGTTAGAACGGCTTTTAGTTTGCAAACACTCATAAATATCATTCCCCTAAACATGCCTGAATTTTGAAAAATGCCCATATCTCACAACATTAAAGAAAGTGAAAATAAAATCCTGCATCCACCCTCTGATGTGGTTTTGTGCCAACATTAAACAAGTTCTTCCCTGATGCAGCACTCACGTTTTGTGGTTTACTGTGAGTGAACAAACAAATGCTGACAAAATATAATATAGAAAATGCAGTGTGCACATATATGGTTGCACAAAAAACTGTGGTCAACATCCATATCACACATATTTAATATCTACCTCGAACACAATCATTTCTAAAAGTGTCACCCAGTTGTAGTGCATTGGAGACAGCAAGCTGGCTTTAAACTCAAAACCCCACAGAAATATCATAAACTACAAAAGAAACTTTGTTGGAGCAAAATAATTGTATCTATTATAACTACAACTACAACCCAAATAAATATTTATACCCAAAACTAGATCATTAATAGAAAATATTAATTATATCGTCACTACAGCAGGCTGACGACAGCTTGAAAAGGACAAAAGAGAGTTTTATTTATTTACTTTTATTTATTTTTACTTTTATTTACCCTAACTTTGACCTACAGTAGCAATTGTCCGCTAACTATAACTATTTTAAAATTGTCTGTAGATGAATTGTGTTGTGAATGTGCAGTTTGTGGTCCTCTCTCTCTGACATTAAGTCATTAAGTAGGGTGAGACTGTGCTGGAGTCAGAGAAAACTGTGTGTGTCTGGATTGAGTTTTTCATGCTTGGTTTATAAAGACAGGTTTACTACAGAATCACTGTGTTCAACAGACTGTCAAAGAAGCTGAAAGATGTAAAGTTAGCAGGAGACTTGAGGGAAAGGCCATGGTTGTTCATTAAGTTCTAACAGATCTGTGTTTTTCTTTAGCTTAAATAACATAATAATAAGAACTAAAATAATGCAGATATAAATTCACCTAATAGCATCAATACTTAAATTAATAATGTGGGGTTAAAAGAAAAAATCTGTTTATTATTATCATCATTATCTGTCACACATGTACATACTATTGTACACACTTTGTTTTTCCTGTCTCTTCGTCTTACTTACACAGACACACACACTAACACACACCAAACAGACTTGCTGTGTCAGCTACAGGGCACACTCAAGGTCACCCCGAAATCTGATCTGCATCCCCCACACATTCCACAGGCTGCTCCTCAACCTATAACACACACACACTGAGAATCAGTGTATAACACGCTGACACAGTACTACAAACACACACACACACACACACACAAATACATACACATACATACACATACACACACACACTTGAAAGTTACATTTACAAAACATTTTACAGAACTTGCAGAGCTTGTCACCATCAGCAGAAGGGAGGAAGAGGGAGAGAAGATGTTTGGGCTGGTTAAACTAGAGACAGTGATGACTCAAGTGTTTTCAGGGCATATGAGAAAAAACTGAAAACAAATAGAAACTTGTCTGTTCTCTACTCTTTTAAACCTCAGATTTAATTAATGATAAATATTCATATTGTCCTAAACTATACACTGGATTTGTTCCGTGCACTCGAGGTGTTGGAGTCTCCTTTGAATATAACTAAAGTTGTACTTCACTGGAAAGATGAGGCGATCAATAAAAACACTGTTATAATAATGGCTTTTAGATAAATGGAAATCAATGCAAGATGGAATTACTGCTGTTACCAGTAATGAGATTAGAGAGAAATGTTGACGGGGGATTTCATTTCCATCAAACTGGAAAAAAAAGTTGTTTAAAATGTTCCGATTAACACAGTTGTTTTACAAGCCCTGATTTCACACTATTTAATCTGTGAGCCGAGACGTTCACACAGACTCTTCATCACGGGCAGACATGAGAGAGAAGGGAGATAAGTTTCTCCAGGTGGCCGTGATAAATCAGCCTCTCAAAGAAGACATCTTCCCTGGTGTCTCCAGAGTGCACTGTGACCCTGAAGGGGTCACAACCAACCTGCAAAGGGGCCATACATCCTCCTCCACCCTGCCACCCCACCATCATCCCTCTTAACCCCCTACATGCTTCAAAGGCCCTTGCCACACGAACCACTCGCACATGTGCACATGCACGGGTGCAAGAATGTGTCTGAGGGGCGCATTCTTCGATCGCTCCTCCACTGCCGCACCAACATCAGGTCATCTGTTTCCCCCGCGCTGCTTCCAACAACCTGTTCTGCGTTTACCAGCCGTGACAGGGCTGCCTCTTTGTGGAGGAATGAGATGGCCACTCCGAGGCTCCCACCACCCGCGACAAAAACAAAACAAAGCAACAAATTCTCAGAGGAAGCTCCGCTTCTGCAGCAGCTCCAGACGGTTCTCCACGGCTGTGCTGAGAACAAACTAGCTCTAATGTCACAGAGAAAACGTTACACATGGGTGCAAATACAGCAGAGAGCTGCTATATCCACAACAAAATACTCAAACACAGACAGAAGCATACGCAGACGGAGACAACCCAACGTTTGCTGTATATCAAGAAATGCAGAGATCAGAGAGTAACACACACACACTTCTATCGAGGAGGAAAAAGGTTTTGTGTACAGAGATTTACTCATCGTAGTGTTGTGATGTGTCACAGAGAAGCTTAGGAATGAATGATCTTGAAAGTGAAGTAATGAAAACAGTGATTGTGGAGGATAATTCTCTGAACCATGGATTGTTAAAGTACATACACACATTGCTTTCTATTAAAAACACTGGGCACTTCACGGAGGCATTAGTAACTGTGAGCATGTGAGACTCATATGTGCTCCAAGTGTTATATCCACATTTAATACACAACACATGCATGATATTATTCTACAGGAGGCAGAGCTGGATAGTTCTCTGATAGACACACTGATGGACACACAACAGGTGTAGAAGCTGGCGTGCTATAAAACCAAGGCTTTGTATCGATCACTGTGCGATTGTGTGCGTGTGTTTTCCATCTTTTTCCAACAAACTGTCTCAATGCAATCTTCTCTTATTCACTCCTTCTCTTTTGGACTAGAAATCTGCAGTTGTCAGAGATTCCTCTTTTTGTTTCTCTGCCCACCAATGCATCTCACTGCTCCACTATCAACCCATGTGGTCTGGATTTACTGGAAAAAAGCCACAAGCCACACAGTAATGCAGGGCTCCATTACAGACACGTTGAGAGAGCATAATATGGCACCATGTTACTCGGAGGATCGGAGCTTCTGTTTTGACTCAAGGTTATTCAAGGTCTCTGTGAAACGTACGAGCAGATATTACTTTCAAGATTCGCTTGCACTCGACTGCAAAACTTAAATTGTAAAAGGACAAAGTTTGACGTTTATTCAGGTTCTCACAAAAGGTTTAGAGGGATGATCAATACCACTCTGGTGTTGAAATATGAGCAGTAGATAATGGCCGACTTCAACAACAAACTCCACCTCTTATAATTCACTAATAAGCACATTATTTTTGCTAAGTTGTAGCTTCATGAAAATATGAGGGTGGTGTCAATCTTCTCATCTACATATAGAGCAAGGATAATTTTTTATGAACAAGTGGATATTTGCACTCTACAGTCTCTTTATTTCTCCCTCTGATCTCTCAAAGCTCACCAGGCACTCATGCGATTCACATGAACACAACTACTGCACAAACGCGCACACACACACACACGCACAGAGGGCCGAATGCTCCCAGGCCTGACCACTGGAGCAGCACATCTGCCCAGGGATCAAATTCTGTGTTGAGGAACCGTATCCACATCCTGACAGGAAGCAGTGCACAGAGGGCTGGAGGAGCCCAACTGTTTGGTACCACACTTGCACGACCCTGCCCTTATTTCACAACACTCAGCTCCACGGCTGTCGTCCAAAGTGCATGAAGTACAAAACTCTTGCAAACTGGAAATGAGTGGATAAATAGATTTCTTACACCTGGAATAATAGTGGATGGGTAGACGTACATGTATTTACAGTCAAGAAGAAACACTCACCTTATTTGTAAAGCTCTTTAAAAGCTTCCACACTACCTCACTTCTCTTCTCTCATTTAAAACTAATGTTGGCAGAACTAACTTCAGGCATTATGCACCTTTTTATATGGAATGGGCTGCAATCTTTCTGACAACTGCTGTCTCACATTCCCCATTTTAAATCTTTGTTTATGATTATTTTTTGTGATTCTGTGCAATTGTTTAAACTAAAAGTCCTTGCTGTGTCGCTTTTATTTTTGTACTTTTTCAACTTTGCTGATTGTGAATGTCTCTGTTCTCAGGTCGAGAGAGAGAAAGAGACTGAAAATCTCCAAGAGGCCGCCTGATTAAATAAAGATAAAATAAACACAATGTTTGTTACATCAACCACCAACGAGGAGCCCAAATAGATCACATTTAAAAACGTAACAATTTGGATTATTCCTAATAATCTAAAAAAATAAGTTCTTAATACAATGACACATATTTCATTTAAAGTACCAATAAAACAAACCTTTACAGAGCATTAAAATGATCCAATTCATACCAGAAGATGTAATTAGAAGAATAGTTTTAGCTAAACTGAAGCTACAGAAAAGAAACGGCTGTTGATATGGACAGAACCTCCTCTGAACGTTCCAACAGAGACACACTGACATTTTCAGGTATTTGAAGATTGCCCTGAATGAAAACACCACCCACTTGGATAACAACCCCTCAGAAAGTCTAGGAGAGACCAGGGTACAGTTTTATGGTTGTTCTCTGAATTCTCCAGATTTGTATATAGTGATATTGAGGTGGCAACTCTTGTTCTCACAAAACCTAAAAAGATTAATTCATTTATCTTGACTGTTTGTACTTGTGCCACAGACATGTTGGGTTTTCAGGGTCGCTCTGTGGTTTAATGTTACAAACATGAGACAGTCAATCCAAAAAGTTGATGGAGGACATGAGCCAATATATAGATAAAACTGTTAGAACTTTACCGAATGTTTTTGTCTTTCCACTGATCTGCCACTGAACGAACAAGGTTGTGGGTCAATCTATTCTCTGTGAACCTCACCAGCCCGAAACAGGTGGCAAACCGACCAGGCCACTGAGATTTACGAGCAACCTCCCACATGTTTTACTCATTGGGAGCGACCTTTCAAAGATCAGATCACAGAAGAAACACAAAAGGCAACTGGTGGTTGAATTATTATAGTGAAACTGAGCATTTCCAACAATGTTGAAAGGGATTTCCAAGAGCGCTCACAGCTTCATCTTTCCTCCAATTCATCAGTCCTGCAGTGACAGGAGCGAGCAGAAACTTTGGCCTCTTGTCAGTTCCGAGTCAGACAGTTGGAAGAATGAAAGTCAGCGCTACTCCTCGGTCTGAATTTCACTCCATCTTCCCACATCCCATGACGGTCAAACCCCCTGGACTAATATTGGATGAGAAATTAAACACCTCGCTAGGTCCGCACTGATACGAGTAAAGGAAATTCTCTGAAGAAACATTCATCTGCGGCCGAGGTATTTCATGACCAAGTGTGAAAGTTGCAGCGAGCTCTGAGCCCCTCAGTCAGGAAGGGATTTCACAGCTGCTCTTTACTTTTGACACAATTTCAGTCAAGAATTTCTTTGTAGCCGGATTAAAATCAGAAGCCATTTGTGTTTCGGCACGAAGTTAATTATATTTAGCGGCTTTTTCATAATCAGATGATTGTTTGGTTGGATATAAGAATTTCTTGTATTTTTTTCTAAAGTTTGATGAATCTACATCAAATGCACATGACGTACATGTTCACACTATGCACCAAAAACTCTGAGTTCATTCTGACAAAGGAATACAAGGAGGAGATTAAATAGGTCTCTCAATTAAAGAACTGACACACCGTTAATCATTTAAAGGGAAATCCAGTAAGAGTAAGCTGAACATTTTCAGACCATCATTTGCAGTATTAATAAACACACCACACACTCACTATGTGTGTGTCAAAACTGTAAATATGTCAAATACACTTTGTTAAAGCCTGATGGGATATCAACAAATTAAGAGTCCAGTGTCAAAAGACAAATTATGATAAAAAAATATTGAAAACAGGTACATTGAAGTGTGAAGAAAATTGAGCCATTGTAATGTGTATATAAAAACAACAGAACGAGCCAAAAGCAGAGTTACAACATTATTCCATAACAACATCTCTCTCTCTACTGTTTCTGACCAGAAACAAATAAACAAGTGTCATCTTCAGTGACGCTGGCAGCTCGTCAACCCTCCCCGCCTGTCACAACCTGACGGGGGGGAACCGCAACACTGTTGGCATTCATCGTAAAAAGACAACTGGCTGTCCATCTTCAAACAATTCAAAACACGAGCAGAGGGGCTTGGTGGGGGTGTCACGGGGGAGTTTGGGCAAGGGAGAGGACAGGGCAGATAAATGCACGCCCGTTCTCATGGTGGCCCCTGTGGTGTGGTGATTATAGCTTTTTGCTCATCATAAATACCAGGCACGAAAAAGACAACATCACAGCAAGAGCCACCAACCTGTCACCTTAACGATACTCACAACAAAATGCAGGAAACCTTGATTCTGATGTCAGAAGAAAGATCAGTCTCCCAACTTTAAGCATAAATATAGAAATTCAAAAAGCAAAATACCAAAATAACAGAATAACACTGATTCATTCTTTCAACTTGCAGCTTTCAGAATGAGTCAATAAAGGACAAACAATCACAAGGAGGCCTCAGCTTCATCAGTCTCACAGTGACAGTACAAGCATCCAAACACACATTGTCCAGCACGGTACTCACCATCAGACCCACAGCTCAGTGATGCCAGTCCAGTCACCAGGAGAACAGCCTGCCAGGCTCGCTCCCGAGGCGACCACGCCACCACCATCCCGTCAGCAGTAGCAGCCCGCCTCCTTCAAATCCCAGAGGTGCTGCCACAACCGACGCAACCGTGCAGGGCAGCAGAGGTGTGAGACTGCGTTTTTTCTTTTTTAATATATATATTTCTATATATATGTTTATTCTCCTGTGAGAAAAAGAGCGCCAGTCCTCTCCTTCTGTACAAGTGTCTCTCTGTGAGCGAATGCCACTCCGCTGCACTCGCAGGAACTTCACACAGCCGCCCCGCAGCCTCCAGCACTACTCCACACTGACAGCCTGGGAGAGACAGACATGGAGGGAGAAGGAGAGGGGGGGAGAAGAGAAGGGGGGAGGAGGGTGTTACTCAGTTGCCCTCTCAGTGTGTTATTTGTCCGGCCCTCTCTATGACCGCTCCACTACAGAGGGAACAGCTGAGTCTATCTGAATCCACACACAGCCTCCCTCTCTTTCTCTCTCCTTCACACACACACACACACACTACAGATTCTCACATCACTCAAACACAGAGAGCAGAATAGACGATAAAGGGGGAGGGGGGGGGGGGTGAATCAGGGCCATGGATGTGTGAGTATAGGGGTTGAATGAGGTGTGGAAGCCTTATGAACTGTTGCCACAGGCACACAAACACACAGCATGCCAAGAGGGACACTCAGACACCACGATCAGATCTAAAGAGAATAAACTCACGGGGGACATGAACATTTACTCTGGTGAGACCGTCTGGTATCAAATCCTGCGAAGGCTGGGCAAGTCCCCGCTCAGGGTGGAATGATGCACTGGAAGAGAGAACCAAACAAAGCACAGAACAAGATGTGTGTTAATGGTTGGCATGAGTGAATTGATGCACGTTATCCATGCTGGCTCAGCAACACTGTGTTTTATATATATGTGTGTGTTTGTGTGTGTCCCAACACTGCTCAGCTTGAGTGTGAAAAGCTCTGCATACGAAATTATGTGACATATGTTGAGATACTTTTATATTTTACATGTTTTTCACATTTCTTACTTTTATTTATATATATATATTTAATTTTGTTGTATTTTTGTTCTTATTGATGTCACTTTGAGTTCTCCTTGTGTCGCATCTTGATGGATTTTTAACGAAACTTGGTGGAAGGATGTGGCATGGATCAGGGAAAGTCCCGTAAAATTTTGGTGCAAATCAATATTAGGTAGGAACAGGATTTTTCTTTAACATTGTGATGGAGAGAATGTTTTATTTTTTTGACATTTTCAGGGAATAATTCATTGATCAGAATCAGGTGATTAGAGGATATAATATAAGTGCAAGCTGCTTGATTGAATTGAGGGGGACTGTTGGGTCTTAGTGGAGGTATCTGCTCTGTGTAACATTCTATTTACTTTATGGAATGTTAATCCTAATCCATAACAATATACAACACGAAAAAAGGGTCAAACTAGGTCCAACAGTTTGACACCACTTTTTAAAAAGGACAAATGTGAGGCAGAAACTCACAACCAGCCTCCTTGAACTACAAAAAGTCAAAAGGACATGAGTCCAAAACAACCCAAATGGGAAAACATCCACTACAACCACAGGAAAAGCAAAGTCTATACAAAATGTCCACCCTGTCTTGAAACAGTGTGTGTGGGACTACAGCTGCAGACACAGGTGTCGTGTGAATGGCAAACACTGCATGGGCATTAATCTGAAACCAAGAGTGTGGTATTAAGATGCAGACATGGGCCTAACCTCATTCAGCTCCTCATGTGAGCCTGTGTGTGAAAGGGGTGTAAACACAACAGGGATCAGGCCATCGCACGTCAGGTGATTAGAGGTGATTAGAGCTCACACCTCCAGGCACCACCACAACTTTACAACTTCACACTAATCCAGCCCATAGACACACATGCAAAACATGCAATACCAACAGGAGAGAAGAAAAACTGACAACAATAGGGACACATTCCAATGGTGAAAGATTTATATGGGTTACAAGTTAAGAGGATTAACAGAGCTATTAGACAGATTACATCAAGTCCACTGCAGCACCTACAGAAATCATAAACATCTCCGAGATGACTGAATTTCTACAGTCGCACATGTAAGGTTTTGTAAGAGATGGAGAAATAGTCCCTGTGGTGTTGAAGCGGTGACGGAGGAGGGCAAAAAACAACAAGAGACCAAATGGGCCTTCTCCACCCAACACCTGTCCCCCCTCTTAAAATCTGACTGGGTGGGAACAGCAGCTCCCAGAAGCCACTTCTCCCCTACAGTGCTCTGCCAGTCCTATAGCTGTCATTCCTGATTTGTGCAGCGCTGTGTATTACACGTAATAAGTCGGCCCATTCTGGAGCACGAGTGCATGGGGAGCGATGTGAACGGGTCAGTGCACCTCACACACCCTTCTGCGCTCCATCAAACGCACAGCACGGAGCCTCCCCATATTCTCAGACGGCCTGCTCAGCCCACACGGATGAGGAGGGGGGGGTCCAGGCGAGTGAGCGGCTCTGTAGGTGGGGGTCACTCCACCGCATAAAGGGATTGAAAGTGGGGCAGACCGCTTGGAAGACCTGCTTTCAGTGAAATTAACTCTTCACTTCCCTTCTTCTTTTCTTCTTCTTCCCATCCCTCTATTTAGTTTGAATTTAAAGGTCAGAACCTCATCTATCAACACACACGTGAACAGGATGATTGATACGGAGAAAACGTTCCGTCAGCGCCTCCATCTTTCGATGGAATCACAGTGTTTGTTGCAACTACAACGAGAAATAGTAAAATATTAATTTCATGGTGCTCCACTCCGCTTTGACCTCTTGGCACAGTGAACATTCAGTTTTGATTTGGGACGGACTGGGAGGCCGACGTGGAGACGTGTTTAGCTGTGAGATCATTTTCAATTTGTTTTGCAGACTGTGTCCCCCCACACACATTTTGCCCTCCGGCACTGAGCGATCAATTAGCTTGATTGTTTGCCATAATCCGTCTTGATTTCATACAGCAAACATTTGCTTATGAAATTGAGACCTTACATTAATACTTGCAGTAGAGTTACAATGCACCATGAAAACAAGCCACGTTTTTTATTTCAGAGAGGGACTTTAAACGGAGTAAATACACCTTTCATCGACAGCGAGAGAAGTGGGATGGATGACTGTGAAAAATCACCGTTAACCTGTGAAACAAAAAGCCATGGACTGAACACAGATGAGGAAATTAAGTGCTGGCAGAGAAGGAATGCGTATCATGAGCGATGTTCCGGCCGGGGCCAAGCTGACCCTGGGCTCTGTGAAATCAGGAGGATTTTCAGCAGATCAGCATTAAAACTGCTGTCACAGAATACTGGAAAGCAGTTGATTACCGTGGCAACACAGCTGTCCTGCCAAAACGGACCGTTTGGGGTATAAAACCCTCCATCTTCATCATCCAGCAAAACAGGATTGTTTCCCTCTTCATTGAGTTATAAGAAACCATTTCATAGTACATTTTGTACCACGAGCAAAACTTACTTTTATTCGATTGCCATTAACCTGAGCTTGACAGGTTAATGGATTAATCGATCTCAATAACAAAAGCCTGAGGTAATCCTCAGATTGTCTGTTAATGTCCAACAGTCTAAAATGAATTTAAGATGGTGCCTGTTCCAGACCTGCCTGTTTGGAAGGAGCTGTTTGCTGCAGTGATGCTGGTTGCAATTTTCTGCAGTAATTGAGCCACGGCACCTGCAGGACTCAGTCCACAGAACCCTGAAGCTACACAACTGCTGCAGTTCAAAGTTCAGTGAAGCTTGAGTCAGTACACAGAAGTCAAAACTAGAGAACCGGTTGTCGATGCTGTGAACACGCTGTTGTGAAAGTATCAACACTTATGTTGCTGAGTCAGAGCCGCCACCGCAACAGAAATCAACAAACTGAGCCCTTAACAAAACACAGGCCGAGTGTGAAGCCGATATAATCAACACTTCTCGTGATATGCAACATACACAGAGACAGACAGACATTTCTGGAATTAATAGATACAAAGGGGAAAACAGCAAATTGATCAAAATGTGAAATATGACAAATAGTTTAGGCAATATGCCAAGAAATTGTCAGTGCACTGTGAAAAAATCTTTAACAAGCTAATAATTTTAATATTTTTTATTGTAGGAACACAATGAAAAACTGTTTAAAAGTTGCATTTAAAGTTTAGTAAAGAGTATCCATCCATCATAAATTAACCCATGTTCACATCAGACATCCCACGAAATCCGTATCCAGCAGTTATATATAACAGCAATACATCATGAGATCCCAGCAGATCCCCAGCTGAGTCTCCAGCCCTCGAGGACAAGAAAGACCCCGATGAATATTCAAGATTCACACAATAGCGAGGCCAAGTCGCTCTGCTGAGATTGACACTTTGAAGTCCCAGGGAATGCTGAGGGGGAAGAAAAACGTCATTCATAAGGGGTGAAAAGGCTGTCGCAGCAAGATTCCCCTCCCTCCTTCCCCTCCCGCCGTCTGTGTCACGCTGTCTCATTCTCTCGCTCTGTCCGTCTCACTGTCTTTTTCTGTCATGATGTGAAGACGTAGTGAGATATTGAAAAGCACTGAAACATGATCGGCTCTGTTGAAAGAACACAGAGGGGGTTTAAACTTCACTGTTTTGAGTTTCAAACAAAATAAGGAGCTCATATTAAGAATATATGCATACACATGTCAGATGGAAGGAGGTCGTGCTTGTAAACTTAACGAGGCAAGAGCATGATGTATCCACACATTTGATTTACAACATTGATTCATGCATGTCACGGCGTGCAGGTCATAATTAAATCTCTCGACGCCTCATAGTTTCCATGAGGCGATGATCTGCATAAAGTCGTAAATGTCAAAACCTTTCAGATACTCAAATTGTCAATGGGTTCCCCCACGTCCTGTAATATAAAAGGTGGCAAACACTACGTACACGCAAGCGAGGGACATACAGTAATACTTGCTATGTTAACAACATTGGTTGTGGTTGCCTCAGTAGCATTAGCATGGCTGTAGCACTAGACAGCATGGTAACATGTTAAGCTAGCACCCGCACAAACTCACAGAAACCATTTAATCTAGCTAAACTGGACTTATACACTGAGTCCACAACCAGTAGTTGGAAATAAGCTTTTAAACACAGGTTTATTTCACGAGCATTTATTCAATGTTCTTTGGGTACATGTGTCTTTGTTATACCACCCCCCCCTCACCTTCACACAGGGTTTCCTGGTCCCACTGGCAAACAGACAGTGGGAGATTCCAACTCTATTTGTAGAGGGGTGAATCTGGAGTGTACCACATGAAAGCCAGTCCAGAGGGGTGTTTTACCTGCTATCACAGAAATGCTCTGTTAAGTGACCATATAATATAGCATAGTGATATTTCTTTGACAGGCTTTTTTATTCTTTTGATTTTTCAATTTGTATCCCCATTTTTTTCAGCTCTGCACACTTGCACATCTGTACTTGCATTGGTGACAAAAATACATTTTACGCACCAGGTGAAGATTTCAAAGATGTCTACTTACTTCACGGGCAAAGTTTAATTGTAATTGTTCGCTACAGTGAGTTCAACCTTTATAGTTATTGTAATTATTGCTAAGAAACATTCCCGGAGACAATAAAGTTTTATTTTTGTAGAATTAAAACAGTTGTTGTGAAGACTATTTTATATTTTGTTTTCATTCGTAATGCAACATTGTTTTTCTGTTGTTGCACAGACCTTAACAGCTGCAGCTGATATAACAACATAACAAAAGTTGAAGCTCAATTTCAGGTTCGCTGTAAAGAACCAGCTC